ATGCCACGCTGACAAGTGGCTGAAGACATAATTGAGGACACCGACTCAGAAGGTGGTTTGTCTTTGATGCCCTCTGAGTTTGATGGGTTCCCTCCCGGTGATGCTCCGCTTCTTAGAGATTTGCTGAGGTGGTGATGTTAAGGCAGTTTTATAATCCACAGTTGAGTGGTGTTGCAGTGATAGCATGTTCCGAAGCTGCTATAAAGTGGGTCTTTTTTTTTTTTTGGAGTGTGTGCCTTTAAAAACCTGCTCAGTCATCAAGAGGCAGAGCATATCAGCAGGGATCAGATTTGGTTAAGCCGTTAATGGACCAAGAAATCAACATCAGAATTCACTGGAGTCCACTGGAATGTTTTAATTTGCTCTGACACCTTGGATGGCTGTGGTGATTTGACACAAACATATTTCTGGACTAGTTTTATGCTCATCCTTTGAAAAATGCTCCTAGCTGCTTTGATATGTAGAGATAAAAGAACCGGACATTTTTAGCAGATAGAATGATGTAGAATCACCACAGAAAGCACGCATATATTTCTATAACCGTGGGTGAGAAGTTAAAATCACAGATCCCTTTGGTAGTCTGAGTCATTCTGTTGACGCCAAGAAGCAGAGTTTAATCAGTTGACCTTTTCATTAGTTGAAGACCACATAGCAAATGCAGTATTTTGGTTTAGTTTCTGTTTGAATTTACGATTTAACCTAAATGAACCACAATCAACACAGTAGTAAGTTGAGGTGGTATTGAACATTTGCCTCTTTAAACTGTCTTCACTTAAGACTGGTTGAATACAAAACTTACAACCATGAGCATTGTGACAGAATTGTTACAACATAGTTCTTCTTGAGGATCTTCCTTTTAGCCTTTAACCATGAGTTAACATATTCTACATCAGAAGTGGTCTAAAGGTTTTTTGTTGTCTCATGTACCTCCGTAAATTGGTCCAATGAGTTCAAGCACTTGTCATTAACATCTACATGTTTCCAATGTGTTCTTCAGCAGTACTTTTAAAGTTAAACTTAATGATACCAAAGTAAACAATGTTTTTGCTCCTCTTGGGTTGACCTGCGGCAAAGGGTTTTAAGCAACTTCTGATCTTGCTCACACATGACGGGAAAATGGGGCTGGATTGGTGCCGCATCAGCAGTAATGTTGCCGTTGTATGGGGTGGTGAATAGGGAGCTGAGCTGAAAGGCTAAGCTCTTGATCTAGCAGACAATCTATATTCCAACCCTCACCTATGGTGATGAGCTCTGGGTAGTGACTGAAAGAATGACAATGCAGATATAAACACCTGAAATGAGCTTCCTCTGTAGGGCGCCTGGGCGTAGAGATAGGGTGAGGAGCTGGGACATCCGAAGGGAACAGAGTCGTTGCTCTTTCACTTCAAAAGGAACCAGCTGAGATGCTTTGGGCATCTGATTAGGATGAATCCTTGGGACCTTTCTTTGGAGGTTTTCCTGGCAGGTCCAACTGGGAGGAGACCCCAAGATAGACTAAGAACCCGATGGAGGGATTACTTATTTCATCTGCCCTGGGAAGCTCTTCGGATCCCTCAGGTGGAAAACGTTGCTGGGGTGAGGGACATCTGGAAGTCCTTGCCTAGCCTATTGCTACTGCAACCTGACCTCTGATAAATGGAAGAAAGTGTGATGACATTTAGTCTTTAATTCGTATATTTGGTCAAGGTTGCATCTGTTGCACAACCACTAGAAGTTGTAGAACCATTTACTGGCATAGTCACAAGAGTTGGAATGACAATGGACTGTCCCAGGCAGCTGTGATGATGTCAAAATGAAATGCAGTCAGATCTGGTGGACATAATCTCCCTGTTTTTTTTTTTTGTTTTGTTGTTTTTTTTTTTTTTTTAAATTGGCTAAAGTACTGCATAATCATCCCACATACTTTGTAGTATCCTCACAACATGCACCACTGGCTGGGAACTTCAATTGAGGGGATTTTCTGTGCTTAAAAATTCTGTTCGTGACGATGATGATTCATTGTTGTTGGTGTATTGAACACCTCCATTGTGTACCTGCAGCTCAACTAGCCCGATAACAACCGTGCAAATTTCTCAGAGAGGAGCAAACCAAGTGTTAGAAACAAACCCTATGATAGCTGGCAAAGATCCAACAAATAAGCAGTAGTAGAAAGGGAGCTTCTGGGTTTATAATCACTATTAACATAGACTTGAACCTTCATGTATACCACACACAAAGCACTCAACAAGAACAAAATGGGCCTGTGAAAACACTTGCCAGGCTGACAGTCCTCTGGAGACGACTGTTTTAGAAAATTGCTACGGGAGAGCGTGCTGAGCCTTTAGTCTCAAAGTTTATTTACGACTCTGTCGGTGTTGAAAAGTGTCAAGGGTCCTCAGGAGCCCTCTGCTGCAAAGGGTCTTCAGCAGCGCTTTAATGGAGCTCTCAATAAAAACGATGGAGAGAGAGAAAGAGAGGATGACATTGTCTCCGTCTGAAGAACTCACCTCCTTCTCTAATTGCCTCAAGTCCTATTGATTACCTGAGGCCCCCTTCACACCTTTTCCATGTGATCCCTTCACACTGCGTGTAATCCTCACACAGAGCTGAGAGACCTGCTTGTCTGCTGTTTTCTGATGTGATTAGCAGTATCGATCAGAGCGCGCTCAGGTATGCGCTTGTTTGTGCGTATGTGGGGGCACCTTAAAAAATGTGACCGCACGCAACTTGGATGCTGAAAAGAAGGAAGTGAAGACACGGCTGCACAACGGTGTTCAGTTCGAGCGATCAAGATGATCCGCTCCGTGCATCCACTGCCTTTCACGGTTCTCTTCCATCCACACCACATACAATATACACCTACACACTGATTCCAGCAAGCAACACTGAACCTGAGCTTCCATCACTCCCCTCCTGCAAAGCCTGGAGGTGCGCTTAAGCAGCAGCTTGATCCCCAGCACATATTACCAGACATCCTGCTGTCACAACACACTCTCTCACTGCCAGTCACTCTCTTTCCTCCCCATCTCTGTTTCTGTCCCTAAGGGAAATAAAGATGACTCCATTCCCATGCAATTAAATGCTCTCACGCTGTCTGGCCCTCGACTATTCACTCTGTGTGTGTGTGTGTGTGTGTGTGTGTGTGTGTGTGTGTGCGTGTTTGATGAAGATGAGATGGCAGATCCCGTGCAGATAGTTGGAGTGGAGATTGAAGCAGAAAGTGAGAAAAGTGACTACATCTAATCTCCCTCCATCTCTTCATCGATTGGACGAACCCTGGACCCCGGCGATAACGCCCGCCAATTAGACGGGCCGCTTCAGTTGGCAGTTCCCGTCATATCTCAAATCTTAAGTCACCTACTGTACCTTTTGGCTTTCACTTCGGCTTATCTGCTGCCTGCTTCTTTTTGAAATTCACTGGAGTTCTGAAGCTGCCTGTGGATTGAATTACTGGAATGTTGGTTTGAGAGGTGCATGTGGAATACCAAAGGAGCACAAAAAAACAGCAACAGATTGGGAAAACCAGGTAAAGGGCAATATGTAGTTGCACCAATCTCTTAATTTTCCTGAGGGAAATGAGGGAAGGAGTGATGTTGAGTATTTGAATGAACATATTCAAAGATGATGAGGACTCTATACATGACTATAGCATCTTTTAAATTACATGTGAAGGTTGTCGTGTCTTTTGTACGAGATAATTCCAGTGAAAATCGGTGTGTTGCTTTCAGCCCATTCAGTGTCCCTGGGTTGGAGCCACAGGGTGTAGGTGGAAATCCTGCATGGATTCCTGTCACGGTTCATTTTTCTGCCCAGTATTCCTTGTTATTCATTCATCTTGGATGATTCAAATTTACCTCGAGTGCCAAAGTTTGGTGCCGACCAGGTTGCACTATGGAAGTGGGGGGTGTGGAGGTCTGGGTGGTGGACTGGTGTGAGGCTTTCATGCTATTAAATAGAACCATAATCACAGTCTATCCCCGATCTGAAGCGTTTAAAGAGGTATGAACCAATTTTAGACACGAGGCTCGGTTTACTTCTCACGAGGAACACTACACAGCCTGTGAAAACAGTCGTATGATGTCTTCTGAGGCTCTTTCTTAATTCTGAGAAAATAACTCTAATGATGCCATCAGGGATTCAGCTCCAGACTGCAAACTTATAACAGAAATCCTGCGATGCAAACTGGGGACGGGGAGTTTTGTAAGATGTGAGCCTTTATCAGAAAGAGGGAGTTTAATAAAAGATTCTTTCCAGTTTTGCTGAGGGAATTGAAGGATTGAGGTCCTGGGGGAGTGACTCATACATGTAGCTTCTCTGCTGCTTCCATTTTTTTTTTTTCTTACCATTTGTTAAATCAGTCCGAAACAAGTACACTAACTTCGTGGAAGTGCAACAATAAATTGGAGCAGTGTCCTTACCTTAACTATGACCCTACTGTGCACTCACAGGTTTTATTGAAATGAATACATTTAACTTTCCTACCATCGGCACAGAGTGTTGAATCATCTGACATCAAACCTCTACCTGCTCACAAAGTTACACTTATTATACAAGCACTTTGGGGAACATCCATTTTCAAATCCTGTACACACCAACGTTAAACAGTCACTTAATTGTCAATTCATCCAAGTAACAAGAAAACACATTTTCTTTCTTGCTGCAGATCGTTTTATGGGCCACGATTGTGTATTTGGGGGCTTTAAGTAGATAAAATTGAGTGAAATTGAGTGTTTATGAAATATTGCAGTGACTTCTGGATGCGCCTTCATGCTGAGCTGCTGTCTCGTTTGTAATGTGGGATCTTTAGTCTTCACTTTAAGTGGATCATATTTTTTAAATCGCAGCTATATCTTGTAATTAGCCTGTCTGTGCAGAGATTCATTTAGACCTCCAACTCAGACTTTCAACAACACGCTGGAGAAAAGCTTTTAGGTTTCAGATAGAATTGGCAGTTCAAAGAAAGCATATCTGTAAAAAAAAAAAAAAAGAAAGAAAGAAAGAAAATCAATGCGTCATCCTACCTTTTTCTTGTTGGTTGGGCAGATGTAGAAACTTGTCACCACGATGGTTGTCCCTGGCATCAGGTTGAGTTTGGTGTAAGTTGTGCCGTAGTCAGTTGACCTGAAAATAGGAGCAAAGACTTAGAAAACTTTTAAGAGCATTTTTGTGGTAAATTTCGTTTTGCAATGCTCTCATGAGTTGCAGAAGTTGCGATGATGATAATTTGAAAAACCGTGCCTCTAAAAGAGTATGCTGCTTATTAGATTTGAGAACTTTTCTTGGTTCTGTTTTAAAACTCTCCTCATCCTGCATATTTAAACAACTGTAGTTTTGTGAAAAACCTTTGTGTTGACAGAAGGAGATTAAATCTAAAAAGAAAAAAAAAGAAAAAACAAAAGCATGGGAAAGAGCGACCTGCTTATTCTCTCAAAACTGCCCTGAAGGCATTATATAAGCTCTCTGTTCACCACATTACCGCTTTGTGGTCCACAGTCAGAGCCTGGTGACAAATCAGAAATGGCTGGACAACCTGTCATCGCCACAACGATGCAAAAACAGCCTCGGGCTGGCAATGAAGTACTGACCAATCCTCAAATCTGGCAGCTTTAAGAGCAGGTATGGAGTGCTGTGTGCATTTGAGATTGATAGGTAGCTGCTGGATTGTTTCTCCGGTCCAGCTCAAGCACACCCACAGAGCGGTATGAAGGCGATTGTTTGTGACAGGTTTTAAAAAAACAGCTCAGCAAGGCTGAAGTGAGGTGACCGCTTATGGATAATTAATGTTTCACATTCCTGGCAGGAATATATAAAGGACAGATTATTCCAGGAAACATTGTCGTCAACCAAATAATGCAACCGAGGAAGATTAAGGCGGCAAATGCTCACTGATTGTGACGGATTAAGATAGAGAATTTAACTGAGGAGTAAATAGACTAAATAAAGACCGCAATTGTAATACTGTATTTGCATTTTGTTTCTCTGGTGTGCATTTTTTATTTATTTATTTTGACAGCTATCTGGGGTTAATTTCAGAAGTAATCCAAAGCACACAGGAAAGGAGATGCTACAGCATTTAGCTGAGGGTTGAGGGTTCAACAGGAGGGAGCCTGGAAGGAGAGGTCTTGATGAAAGAGAATGATGAGCAAGCACGTCAGCCTGGTTAAGGATGAGAGGATTTACTCTTTTGCGCAGTGGGACATCAACCACCGACAGACACACACACACACACGCAGTAAGACACATACACACCCAAAACCCTGCCAAGCCATTCAGCAATCAGCTCTCCCAGAGTGCTCCGATACAGCTGGAGAAAATGGAGTGGCATAGCAGGGGTGAGCTATTTCTCTGCGGTGAGCTGGCAAGTGTTTTCATCTTCCTCGCCGGCCTGTGTGCGGTGTTTAACCCGGGATCACTTGTAGGACACGGACGGATCTTGCGCTGATGGCTGTGTTAGCAGCCAGAGCTCGGTGCTGATCTCAAAAACTCACTTGTGGCTCGATGCCCCTGGTGTGCAGAGGTCCACCCGGAGGCCGGATCTTTAGAGCATAAGTGCAAAAAAACCCCACTGAGCAGTCAGATTCAGCACTAATGAGTGAGGAGGATGATAAACAGCTTGTAAAAAAAAAAGCTTGATAAACAGCTCAGGCGACAACGTGAACTCACTGCAATGCTTTAAAAGGTCGAATCATGATTTTTGTGAATCTTAGAGGCCGAGACAAATCACTTACGCTTGATGCTGCTCTTGATCATTTCCCAGGGAGCACATAATAAGTTTGTATATTGATTTTCTACCTTCCAAGCAGACACTGGATTCAGTTTGTGCTTGTAAAATTCTAACAATCGACTCGAAAGTTGCTTTAGATTCAACTGCTTGTGTGAAAATACAACACATGAGACGTGGCAGCAACCTTTTAACCAAATTTAAACACTTTACTCGATAGTTGTTAAGTCGTGTGTGATCAAAGTGTTAATAGAAATGCTTTTTGATATCTGAGTCTTACAGCTTTAGCACTTTTTTCTTCGTCGTGTGTGCAACATATCGGCTTATGGGTTCTCCAGGCAAACTATGTTAGTAAAAGGCTGCCATCAAGCAGACACAGCACAACATTAGTATTCATTTGGAGTGATGTTTCTATTGTTGGCTTTGTTTCGGTCTCCAAAATGTTGAAAATGAACAAGGCTGCCAAGACCAAAATTAGTGGGCTATAAAACCGAACAATGAGCCAAAAAAAAAAAGGAAAAAAAATGCTAAAAGGCTCCTTAGCGCTGAAAGGAAACACAGAGTCGGTGTAAATACTTCAAGGTTTGTCAGTATAAGTGACCCCTGTCGTATTACTCACATTCATCTCCTCTATTGTTAATAATAACAACATAAATCATCAAATAATTCCACCTTTATGCACAGCACAATGGGAGGAGAAGGCATCAACTCTTATACTGTACAAGGCATTACTTACAATAAACCAGTGGTAATCTCTTTTTAACAGAGCCATCCAAAGCCCTCTCCCTATTACATATTCATAGTCCTTCATTAGCAAGAGTGTAATGAGAGGCCGAGGCTGGTGGGCCTTCTGCCCAGAAACACAGCTCAACATCTGGACCTTGAGTGTCCCTTGTGCTCTATCTTTCTGTCCACACTACCCCACACTACCAAGAGTCAGCTACAACGGGGGCTGCCTCCTTATGTCCTTGTGGTGCTGAAAGCCAAATGTGTCATTTTGAGAAAATTATGGAAACAGCTAAAAAAATACACTGGTGGGTATAAATTTCAAATTGTGTGAAGTATTTGGGCAAAAAGTATATCATGATACGATAACTCCAGCTCTCCCTGTGTACCAACAAGTCTTCCGATCTGAACGTATACATCACTGGTTCCTGTCATATTACAAAAGCCATATTTTCCGAAATAGAGAAATATAACTTTTCGCCTCTGTTTGGTTTGGTGGAGCCACACAGACAGCTCGGTTCACTTAAGGGGAAGAGCAGAGTTTGGGATCAAATACAGGACCTTTGTTGATATGGGTATTAACTTATAGAACATTCATAATGGGACTCAATCTGCAATGTTTTGCTGACCCATCCACCCACCTCCATCTCCTCTCTATGCACACTTTGTGCCTCTATAACTATAAGTCGGAAAGAGCTGCATTAAAAACCACCTGAGGGGTGTTTTATTTTACTTTTATTTTTTTTATGGGAGTTGAGTCTCAAGCGTACTGCCTTTGTTGTTAGGGAGGTTTATGCCAAATTTCAAAGCCCCCATGATGTTTACGTGGCCTCTTGTGTCAGTCGTACAATGCGACTGGCATATTTTTTTTCCCAAAAAACCTTGCAGAAAGGCCACATCTATTACTCAAAGGATTTTCTGGTTAGTCATCTGAAAAACATAGACGTGGGAACTGAAAAATGAACGCAAAAGGGAGGAGTCAGAGGGCAGTGGAAAGATGTTGCATCACTAATAAGGCTAATATGGAGGTTGGGCAGGGGTTACTGCAGAAAGTCGGCAGCCCCAGCACCTTATACAGCGAGAATAATGATGTTGAGTTAATAGGAGAGCTCATTTTGTACTGTCTGCCATCAAGACCTTTGGATTAATAGACTGGTCGGGAGCTATTGTAGATTAATGAGGAGTAATTACTTTAAAACAGAGTAGGGAGCAGATGTGAGGGGATATGGAGGAGCACAGGGAGAAGGAAAGGGGAGAGGAGTTGGATGGGAAAGGGACTAAAATTTAATCTGTGGTACTCAATGTAACCCGCAATGCTGACAAAATTACACATTAGCAGAGAAGTAGGGCATCAGGGCGCACACGCAGACACACCAGAACCACTGATACTACCCTTCATTTTCGGCAAGAAACGCTATTTCATTTGAACTTGTCAGTGCAATTCAGTTGCAGCTTCCACGACTGAACCTTAAAACATCATAACATGGTTTAGGAAACGATCAATTCTGATACACAAAGGCTTAAACAAGTCAGCAAAGACACAAACCATTTGGTAGAAGTCAATCAGCCGAAATAATAACAGTGGAAAGACATAAACCATTCTAATACTGAAGTATAAAAGAAGAGTGGAATAACAAGAAAAAAAAAAAGAGAGAGAGAACGGTAGAGGAAGGTGGACATGAAAGTGAGAATGGATGTGACAGAGACAGACACTGCGGGTGGAATTGTATTTTCCTTGATGCGCTTGAGAAAACAGAGAAATGTGGAAGCACTTTAGGGCGGCGACAGGTGCTGATTCAGATTTAATGTCCTAATATGTCAAGGTTGCTCCCAGCGCCTGACGTCTCCAGGAAGAAAAATCGAGTGTCAAGCAAACGTGTGATGAGACGGAATACCAAAATACTAAGAGAGGGGGGAAGGAGAATGGATATGAGGACAGAGATTTCTGAGAAATCCACCTAAAGATCCCTAACGTGTAAGCTAGGGAAGTTTTATGATTTGGACACGGCAGACAGAAATGTATTCTTCAAGGCACGTCTCTCCTCAGTGCACATGTATGTCAAGGGATGTCCGCTGTCAAGAACTTAGCTGCTAAATAGTCTCAAATCAAACTAATATTAGAGCTGAGCAGCAGGTTGGTGAGTTAAAAACAAGCCAGTGGACATGTGAAGGAGCTGGATACATCCTGACATGGCTGGTCCAGCTCTGATTTCTGCAGGAAGCCAAGAGCTGAGACAGACAGATGCTGCCAGTCTGAATCAGGGCTGAGCTGAGCAGCCAGACTCTTAAGTTTGACAAGGCTCATCGCTGACTGGCTGACATAAAGATTTCCCAAGGAGACCAACTAACAACTCGGGGCAGTCTGGAAGGAGGTCACAGATTAAAGGAAGGATCTTTTTTTTTTTTTTTACGTCGGAGCTTTCGATCATCCATGCAAAGTACAGCACTGGCACAACAGCACCGGGTTGGAGAAAATCTGCAGCGCATTACAACGCTCTCCTGACAAGAGTGATGAAGCATGGGGTGAATTTGCTTCCTTGCCAAGGTATCGCTCACCGGGGCTATTAGATGCTTCCCAGAAGAATTTGTGCCAAAATTTTGTCCAGAGCAGGTTAAAGCTTGGGTCAGGAGCAATCATAACTATCTAAGATTCCCCATCTTTCTTTTTGAAAGA